AACAATTTGCAGAGGTTTATAACAGGCGCGGCGCCAGGTTTTCATTTTTGGGTGGGCCACGGTAATTTTGGACGGACGGACCTTCTTCTTCCGGCGCTCACAGGGAGCAGACGCTTCTGCCTTTTCCTCCCTTATCTGTTTTTTCCCAAGGCTCTTTTTGTCCCGTCTGCCTACAGAGCGCTTCTCTGCATTTCCTCTGCAATCACCTTTTTTCAGCATTTTTCAACATGGACTTAATTAATTGGTCATTCAACGCGATTGATAAGATTTTTTCTACAATGAGCACGCTTGTCCTCAGGGGACACATGCAGCGGGATATATGTTTGATTCATGGAAAAAGTGGAATATCATCTGTCTCTCTCAGCTGTCCATTGAGGACGTCGAAGATATGTGGATATTTGGCCTGATGATCGTTGAATTTCTTCTGATTGGAGTGGGAGGATATCTGGCTTTCTGTAAAATTGGGATGACGGGAGCGATTGGAGGGCGACCCGCAACCATGGACGGCACCGTCCGTGTGGATACCTCACAGACTGGGATGTTGCTCGAGGTGAATCGCAAGCTGGACAATGTCTTAGCTGCGTTACCGGTGTTAGCGCGCAGGATTGATAACATCTCGGAAAGGGTCACCGGACGGTGTGGAGATGTTTAATCACTGAATTGGCTTCACTGGAGGACTTGAATGATCAATACAGACTTAAGGCAGAGAGGAAAAATTATCTCTGTCTGACCCAAACAAAGTTCTGTTATCGAATCTGACGCCATAAGCAGCCTTGGAGTTGCATGCAATAACCCCCACGCTGGAAGGAATGCAGACAAATGCTGTGAATCTCTATCCACCCACCCCCTCGCCTTCAGATTGTGGTCTCCACCGAGGTCATCAAGCTGAAGGACTCACTACTCTCTGTGCTTCCCCATGACCTCCCTCCCACCTGCGGAGCCAGCTGGTTGAGCGCCACACAGGCAGCACCCGCGAAGGAAACCAGGATCCCAGCCCCTCCCCCCTACCTACCGGGTCTCATGTTGTGAACTGTGACGTTTGTTGCTTACATGTCAGGTGTTTTTTTTTGCATTGGAGCGCTACACCCTGCTGGTGTAACCCTGTTAATGCCTTTTTTCTCCCTCCCTGAACTTCCCTCATGTATTCCCTTACTCATCTACAAAGGAGCGCCGTCATGGCTGCTCCCATGGTCTGCCTGTATCTGTCTTGTCTATATGTGTGTGTGTGTAACCTTGGTCAGGTTGTACTATGGAGTCAAGTTCCTACGCTGTGAAAGGAGCGCTGGCAATAAAATTCATTCTGATTCTGATTCTGATAAGCAGTGACTTAAGTGAAGCAGGCAGGTCGCGCTAGAAAATTTCGTTTAAAAAGACGTCATAAATGTGTTTCCCCGTCATTTTTAGTTATAAAATATGAAGTAAAAACTCACAATTTAATTTTCATTCATTTGTCATTAATATTTAGTCTACACCCGTGCGTTAAGTGGACCATCTTCCAGTAAAAGCAAAGCATCCAGCCCACCTCTCCAAATGCGTGAAATGTGCGTCAGCCGCTAGTTAGGCGCGCCGCGCGCACCATCAGCTACGTCAGCCCAGACAAGAGCAGAGCAACTAGAGACAGAATAGAGGATAATTCTGTCTGGATGTGGATGGAGATTACATTTTACAGCAGCCCGATCATCATTTAAATACGTAAACCATCACCTGGCTTCTAGTCCACGCTATCAGCATTATTTTAATTGGTGTGTGTCTGTGTGTGTGTGTCTGTGTGTGTGTGTGTGTGTGTGTGTGTGTGTGTGTGTGTGTGTGTGTGTGTGTGTGTGTGTGTGTGTGTGTGTGTCCAGTAACATATTAATGTTACAATTAAACAGTTTCACTTCATGTAGGCTAGGAACGTTTCACCTGCCGTGGCCCGACCGCTTCTGCTCCACATAAACTTTGTGCGTGATCAAATGTCTCTACAGGTGCTTTCTGAGCTGAAGAGGCTATTCTGCCTCAGACTGGATGCGTCATGCGTCTCCATATTAGAGACGGGAACAAGCGCTGTTCAGCCAAAGTTTCATAATTTCATGAAAAGAACATTTTTCCAAGTGACACATCCCTCAGAGAGACCGGGTTTCCAGACCGCTTCAGTGGGAGGAAATCTTACCACATGCGTCGTGGTTCTGTGCTGCGAACCCCTCTACAGATCTTCAGCCCACTGTCCACCGTGGGCGCTCCGAGCCGCGCTGAACACAGAGTCCAGTATAAAGCTCTGATGTTCTGATGGGAATCATTTCTTGATTGATTTAGTTACCTCTGCGATGTGCGTAACGATTAAAATGTCAGCTCATCCATGTGCATCAGTGTGCGTCGGGGTAATTCTTTCAAAACAACCAACATCCTTGAGTTTATCTGTCAAAATAAACAGTCAAATGGAAATATCTGTAACCTGTTATTTAACTGTTTTACCTTCTTGTGAAGATTGTTGCAAAGAGAAACAATTAAACTTGATTAACCCCAGAGCCACGCGCACTGCGCTGTACTGACTGTAAATGAGGGGGAAATGATTTAATGGGATCCTTTTCTTTTGAACATGGTTTAATGTAAAGTTTCATTCAGCACAAACTTTAGTTGCACCAATCTAACGAGGCAGAGCCTGAATTTGAATTCTGAACAGTTTAAACATGTTTAAAACGGAGACGTGCGTGACGCATCTAAAATTCGCACCTGCTCCGCTATTATGGAAATTAAACTAACAAGATGAATAACATGAACTTATTTTAGGCACAGACAACATCCCCCACACTTTTGAAAAGCTTTCAACGCGCCTGGTCGCTCGTGTACGTCAAAGTTATCTTTCATAAGAAGATAATCAATAAAACGATTTATATAACATGGATCCAGAAGTTGTAGCCCGTCTCTGCCGACAATATTTTGATATTTTTCACCCTGTTGGTGGTTTTACTGAGCAGGTGCCACTTTTGTCATACGTTTCTTTTTAAAACATGTTTAGACTGTTTAGAATACAAATCCAGGCTCTCAGAACCAGAGCGCATGTGGAAGGTTCCTCCCACTGAAGCGAGTGTTTTCCAAACCCTGTCTCTCAGAGACTTGTCACTTAGAAAATGTTCCCTGATGATGAAACTTTGGCTGAATAGTGCTTGTTCCTGTCTCCAATGTGGCGACACATCCAGGAGCCGTCTGAGGAGAATCCCAGAATCTGACATCCTCCAGCTCAGGAAGCGCCTATGATTACGCACAAGCGTGACGCGTCAACCCGGTCTCATAGTAAGACCGGGTTGGAACTGTTCAGGTTTACGCAGACAATCTTTACATTTAGAATTGACTTACAGATATAAAATTAATTCAGTAAAATGTAAAGCATTTTATTTAAATATCCATTCATTATTTTACAAGCACAGAGAGCCGCATCAGATGGATGGAAGAGCTGCATGCGGCTCCAGAGCCGCCGACCCCTGTGCTAGCCTACTTTATTGTCCCCAGCAATTTTTAAACCCCACTCAAGTGTATGGTTATTGTCCCCAGCAATTCTGAAAAATAACTGACGCCCTTGGTCAGATCCCAAGCTAGCTAACTAACTTTTGTAACTACCATACTCAATTTGCCCCAACTAGTGGACGCCAGGCTAACCTGGCATAAAGAAAAGCAGTCTAAATCGCTACTTTCCCCCTCCGTTGAATATTTGTGTAACTCACTATTGACATCCACCATGGCAGACCCTACGTCAGGTGACGTGGCTGAAAAGGGTCAAAATGACTCCATCGTAATGCTGATGATATTAATGTGTAGATAAAAGACGGAAAGAGGAAAACACTGACTGCCTTTGGAGGACCACTATCCTGGTGGGTGAGCCAATCCTGGAAGTCAGAACAACAAACAGATTGAGAGCTGTTTTAGTGAAAAATGACCGTCTACAAGCAAAATCAATCAGTTCCACCCTAGAATATAGAAAGATGTCAATTTTGCAGCACGGTAAACACAGAGAAATTTGAAACAACACAAACAAGCCAAGGGACAAATGAGGCTAACTAGTAAACAGTAAAGCTGCAATGGCAAATTTAGAAAACAAATTAGCTTAAAACATTTTTTCATGCCTTTTAAAAATGTTCTAACACAATAAATAAATTGTGGAGATTAAAAAAATTCAATAAAGTGGTTCTTTGGCGTTTATCTAAAATCCTTTGCCAGTAACACATTTCAGACCTAAAGCAATTATTGGATCATCCGGATGTCGGACTAGCCAAACCACTGCACTTCCCAGGGACCTGCATTCAAAACACACTCACGTATTTATCAACAGAACACCACTGGTGTGATTTTCTCAGCTCAACAATATCAGAGAAGGAGAAACAGTCGGCTGCTACCACTTCTACTTTAGGACTAACTACTAGAGTCCCTATAAAAAAACACCATTTGAAGTCACGGACAACAAAAGACATTTGGACCTGGAAAACGGTGATGGGTGTTTAGCCCCATCTCTTTTCCTCTGGCGTTGTGGGTCACTAGTTCTGGCAGAAGCGTCTCAGGGAAGATACCCGGGGTGGGGGTGGGGGGGAGGGCTGAGTGTGCCATGGCTGTGTTTGTGTTCAAAGCTTGTTTGTAGATTTGCTATAACAGCTTTAAAAGAGAAATATAATTTCTAAAATCAAAACAACAACAAAATTGCACATTTTTAAAGGGTTATTAAAGCGATGCTAAAGAGTTAACACTTTTAGCGTTAGCTTTAAAACTGGTTTCAGTGATTTTTCACAAAATCTTTAGCAGCTTCACATTGGACAGCACTCTGTATCCCTCTGCTGACCAGAAACTACGCTTAACAGTTTTCTATGTAAAATTTGAATACATTGTATGTATTTATGTAAAATACATAAATTAGCCCTTGAAAGTGAAAGCTGACCTGTTCTCTAGCGCCACCATCAGGCCAAACTGAAATCACCAGACCAAAGTTAAAATAAATGTATCTTGAAAAGTTTCGATTCAAATCTTCTCATATTTTCTAACGACATTAATGATCACAAGATTATGAACCTTAATGGGTTTTGGTGATGATATGACCTTTCCTGCAGCGCCACCGTCAGGTCAAACTTTAGAGTTAGTGTATCTTACAAATCTTTCATCCAGATCTTTACTAATTTAGGGTGCACATTCATGACTCTCACAGAATGAACCATAATGATTGATGTTGGTGACCCCCCTTTTCCCTCTTGTAAACATATTTATTTATTTTCATCTGTTTTTTGTCACATAGTTAGAAAGTCAAACTCTCCCCTCCTCTTTTTTATCCGGGCTTGGGACCGGCAGTGGCAGAGTTAGAGAGTTTTTTTTTTTTTTTTTGCTTTTATTTTATTTTAGTTTATGATTTATTTATTTATTTGCTTTTTATATTTTGTTTTTGTTTTTTGTGTGTCGGGGGATTACATGTTTGAAAGTTCACCCATCTCTGAAACAGAAAATCATAATGAGAACATCAGGGTCTTCGGGGAGGCAGTGGCTGGCTTAACTTCTCACATTCATCCTGGACAGTGCTACCCGCTGCCACCAGGAGATGGGATGTCTTCTAATTAGCCTTTTCTGATTTGTTAGCAGGGAGGTTCGTTGCTAGGTTGTTTGTTTTTGTGCTGACGGAGACATCCCGGGGTTACAAATTTCTTGAAATGCCTCCACACACGAACTTTTTCCTGTTTTTTTGTGTCTGAGTGCGGAGCGTCTCTCTGGGACTCGAGGCTTTCTGTTAAAGAGTCGTTTTCAGCAGGAAGACTCTCGTTTCCTTCTGCAGCGTCCACGTTCTGCTCACTGATCGTTTCGGTTTGCTGATCTGGGTTCAAACGTTCAGTCTTCAGTCTCAAGATCAGATTTTGACTTTCCAGATTTGTAGTCAGTGACTCGAGTTCAGAGACTTGTTCCTTCAGGATTCCCAACTCTTCCTCGTGCTGCTTTTTGCTTCTAAACAGATTTAACTGGAGGTCAAGGACGACTTTACGGAGTTTTGTTTCTTTTTCCTCCATCTGTTCTAGTTTGGTCATCAGATCATCGTGACCTGCACTGACCACGTCTCTGTTTTGGGCGAGCTCAGTCTCCAAACCAAGTCTGATCTTCTGCTCGTCTCTAAGCTGGTTTTCCAGGCTCTCACACAGGCCAGATGTTTCCTGGAGTTGCTGGTACAGCTGGAGTCTGAGCTTCTGTTCGTTGGTGAAACCTGTTTCCAGGTTTTCACAGACGACAGATTTATCCTGGAGTTGATGTTTGACGCTCTCCAGCTGCTCAGCCAACTCCTTGTGAGAAGCAGCATTCTCAGCGGTCAGGTTCTCCACGACCACTCTGAGTTCTGAGTTGCTCTGAGTCAGATCTTTGATCAGCTCTTTAAGATCTGAGTTCTCACTGACTATCGCCCTGTTAGAGTCCAGCTGAGCCTCGTAGCTAACTCTGAGCTGCTTCTCCACGTCCAGACTGCTGCTAAGTTCTTCACAGACGGACATTTTTTCATGGAGCAGCTGCTTAAACTTCTGCAGATCCTCACACATCTGGTCTGATTTAGTTTCTACAGCCTGAACACTTCTCAGCATCTGACTGAGATCTGTGTTCCTCCTTTTCAGATCGTTGATCTCCTTCTTGAGATTTCCGTTCATTGAACTCATTTGATCTTTAGTTTTTTTGAGTTCTTCCTCACAGGTCAGGCGGAGCTCGTTTTCTTTGTTCAAACGTTTCTCTAAACTTTCACAGATCAGATTCTTCTGTTTGAGCTGATGCTTGAAATTATTTTGCGTTTCCAGAAGTTTCCTGTCTCTGTTCTTCAGATCCGTTTTAACGTTGTCCAGCATCTCAGAGAGGTCACCGTTCCTTTTCTTAAGATCTTTGATCTCCTTCTTAAAGTTCTCATTGACGGTGACTTTATGCTGGGCGTTCTTCTGCTCCTGGACACTAACGAGTCTGAACCGACGTTCTTGATCTAAATCTGTTTGCAGATTTTCGATGAAAACGTTCTTTTCTGAAAGCTGCTCCTTCAAATTCTCCAGCTTGTCGGTCAACTTCCGTTCTACGCTGATTTTCTCATCTTTTTCTCTGCTAAACATCGCTTCTAAGTCCAAATGTCGTTGCTCCAGTTTTTCAAAGTTCTCGATCAGAACGTCTCTCGAGACTCCAGAAAAACGGGACTCGTCTGTCTCACCTTTTAGATCTGAGCAGATTTTTTGTAAGTCTTCATTCACGTTTTTCTGCTCCTGTAACTGCTTTTCTAAAGCCACCAGCTTTTGTTGCTGCTCAACCAAAACGTTCTCCATCTCTTTAGTTTGCTCCTTGTAAAGCGCACACTGGTTCTCTGCAGCAAGCCTCTTCTCCTTCTCCTGATTGAAACAAGTATTTCTGTTCTGCACTTTTTCTTTCAGATGATCCACTTGTTTCAGAAGGTCACAGACGACAGATTTGTCCTGCAGTTGATGTTTGAAGCTCTCCTGCTGCTCAGCCAACTCCTTGTGAGTAGCGGCGTTCTCAGCGGTCAGGTTTTCCACGATCTCTCTGAGTTCTGAGTTGCTCTGAGTCAGATCGTTGATCTCCTTCTTGAGATTTCCGTTCATTGAACTCATTTGATCTTTAGTTTTTTTGAGTTCTTCCTCACAGGTCAGGCGGAGCTCGTTTTCTTTGTTCAAACGTTTCTCTAAACTTTCACAGATTAGATCCTTCTGTGTGAGCTGATGTTTAAAATCACTTCTTTCTTCCAGAAGTTTCCTCTCTCTGTAATTCATATCCGTTTTAATGTTGTTCAGCAACTCAGAGAGGTCACCGGTCCTTTTCTTAAGATCTTTGATCTCCTTCTTAAAGTTCTCGTTGACGGTGACTTTATGCTGGGCGTTCTTCTGCTCCTGGACACTAACGAGTCTGAACCGACGTTCTTGATCTAAATCTGTTTGCAGATTTTTGATGAAAACGTTCTTTTCTGAAAGCTGCTCCTTTAAATTCTCCAGCTTGTCAGTCAACGTCCGTTCTACGCTGATTTTCTCATCTTTTTCTCTGCTAAACATCGCTTCTAAGTCCAAATGTCGTTCCTCGAGTTTTTCACACTGGTTCTCTGCAGCAAGCCTCTTCTCCTTCTCCTGATTGAAACAAGTATTTGTATTCTGCAGTTTTTCTTTCAAATGATCCACTTGTTTCAAAAGTTCATCGATTTGCCTGCTTTTAAAATCAGCTAATTCCTGCTGAACCGTCTGAGGTGTAGGGACAACCGTCTCAGATCCAGAGAACTCCAGTTCAGCAGATGAATGAGTCTCATTAGGAAGCGACTCTTTCTCTGCACCAAAGACCGATGTTTGTTCTGCCATCTGAGACTCCATCTCTTTAGTTGTAGACAGTAGATCTGACTTTTCGTCCTCACCATCAGAACTAAAGTCAATGACTAAATCATAATCCACTTCTACGTTGTTGACACATAAGTCGTACCAGGACATGTTTGTGCTGTTCGTCATTTCAGCCAAAGTAAGGGTTTGTTCTGCCTCAATTTGGTGTTTAAAATCAGCTAATTCCTGCTGAACGGACTGAGGTCTAGGGACAAACGTCTCAGATCCAGAGAACTCCAGTTCAGCAGGTAATTTAGTCTCATACTGAAGAGACTCTTTCTCAGCATCAAAGACAGACATTTGTTCTGTCATCTGAGACTTCATCTCTTTAGTTTTAAACTGTAGATCTGACTTTTCGTCCTCACCGAAGTCGATGACTAAATCATAATCCATGTTTACAGGGTTGACACAGAAGTCGTACCAGGAGATGTCTGTGCTGTTCATCATTTCAGCGAAAGTAAGGGGTTGTTGTGGCTTTCTTGGGCGTTTAAAACCAGCTAATTCCCGCTGAACCGTCTGAGGTCTAGGGACCATCGTCTCAGAATCAGAGTCGACCGTCTCAGATCCAGAGAACTCCAGTTCAGCAGGTAATTTAGTCTCATAGTGAAGAGACTCTGTCTCAGTATCAAATGTATGTTCTGTTTCATCAAACATATCATTTTCCATCTCTTCAGTTTCTGAGAGAAGTTCTGAGTTTTCATCCCCACAGTCAGAAACAAAGTCCATCTCTGACTCATAATCCATTTCTCCTGGGCGTAGACGTGAGTCGTACCACGACACGTTTCTTCTGTTCACCATTTGAGCGACAAAAAGGGTTTGGTCAAACTTACTTGGGTGTCTGAAGACAGTGGTGTGTCCTCAGCGGTAGCTCTGAAGATACTGAAGAGGAGCTGCTGCTCGTGGGCCTTTTATAGTCTCGGAATGTACCAAGTTAGAACCCTCCTTTATGATGTCACACACAGATTCTTCTATTGTGCTTGTTAGTGTTAATATTAGTAGTATTAGTAATGTAATTATTGTTTTTATTAATAATAATAATAATAATAATCATATAAGTATTAATATTAATTGCAATAAAACTCTTTAATTAATGGAATCTTCCAGATTAAAGCCATCCTTTATGATGCCATTATTATTATCATTATATTAATAGATGAAAACTTTAATGGAATCTTCCAGATTAAAGCCATCCTTTATGATGTCACACACAGATTCTTCTATTGTGTTTGTTAGTGTTATTATTAGTAGTATTAGTATTGTAATTATTGTTTTTATCATTAATAATAATAATAATCATATAAGTATTAATATTAATTGTAATAAAACACTTTAATTAATGGAATCTTCCAGATTAAAGACATCCTTTATGATGACATTATTATTATTATTATATTAATAGAGAAAAACTTTAATTAATGGAATCTTCCAGATTAAAGCCATCCTTTATGATGCCATTATTATTATTATATTAATAGATGAAAACTTTAATTAATGGAATCTTCCAGATTAAAGCCATCCTTTATGATGTCACACACAGACTCTTCTATTGTGTTTGTTAGTGTTATTATTAGTAGTATTAGTATTGTAATTATTGTTTTTATTATTAATAATAATAGTAATTATATTAGTATTAATATTAATTGTAATAAAACACTTTAATTAATGGAATCTTCCAGATTAAAGCCATCCTTTATGATGTCACACACAGATTCTTCTATTGTGTTTGTTAGTGTTATTATTAGTAGTATTAGTATTGTAATTATTGTTTTTATTATTAATAATAATAGTAATTATATTAGTATTAATATTAATTGTAATAAAACACTTTAATTAATGGAATCTTCCAGATTAAAGCCATCCTTTATGATGTCACACACAGACTCTTCTATTGTGTTTGTTAGTGTTATTATTAGTAGTATTCATAGGCGTCATTTTAACCGGGGACGCCGGGGACATGTCCCCGGCAAAATTTGTGATTGGCAGCTGTGTCCCCCCCCCCCCCCACTTTCAAAAAAGCCTGCTGATGAGGATTTTTGTTTTACCAGCTCAGATCTTATACCGGGGTCGGCAACCTGTTCCCATCAAAGAGCCATTATTACCCGTTTCCCACAGTAAAGAAAACACCGCAGCAGCCGCAGCGTTGTGGGCGGGGCCTACCCTCAGACAGCAGAGAGCTGCTCACAACAGGTGACAGCAGCCGGTACCGGTCGCTTGCATGGGCGTCGCACCGGAGGGGGATGGGGGGGGGGGGGGGGGAGATGCAACACACACACCTTTCCAGCTGTTTGCTCACCTCCACACCAGTCTGGTTTCTTTACGTCGCACTCACTCTGTCTGCCTCATCTCCTTCTTCACCTCCCGCTTCTGACAGCCGATGTCGGGTTTCCAGGAGAGCAGGAGAGGGAGGGATGGAAGAGCTCGACTGAATTCATAATTTTACATCTTGACATTAGCTGTACAAAGTCTGAGTTTGATAAAGTGAAGAACAACAATTTGCAGAGGTTTATAACAGGCACGGCGCCAGGTTTTCATTTTTGGGTGGGCCACGGTAATTTTGGACGGACCTTAATAAGCAGTGACTTAAGTGAAGCAGGCAGGTCGCGCTAGAAAATTTTGTTTAAAAAGACGTCATAAATGTTTTACCCCGTCATTTTTTTTATAAAATATGAAGTAAAAACTCACAATTTAATTTTCATTAATTTGTCATTAACATGTAGTCTACACCCGTGCGTTAAGTGGACCATCTTCCAGTAAAAACAAAGCATCCAGCCCACCTCTCCAAATGCGTGAAATGTGCGTCAGCCGCTAGTTAGGCGCGCCGCGCGCACCATCAGCTCCGTCAGCCCAGACAAGAGCAGAGCAACTAGAGAAAGAATAGAGGATAATTCTGTCTGGATGTGGATGGAGATTACATTTTACAGCAGCCTGATCATCATTTAAATACGTAAACCATCACCTGGCTTCTAGTCCACGCTATCAGCATTATTTTAATTGGTGTGTGTGTGTGTGTGTGTGTGTGTGTGTGTGTGTGTGTGTGTGTGTGTGTGTGTGTGTGTGTGTGTGTGTGTGTGTGTGTGTGTGTGTGTGTGTGTGTGTGTGTGTGTGTGTGTGTGTGTGTGTCCAGTAACATATTAATGTTACAATTAAACAGTTTCACTTCATGTAGGCTAGGAACGTTTCACCTGCCGTGGCCCGACCGCTTCTGCTCCACATAAACTTTGTGCGTGATCAAATGTCTCTACAGGTGCTTTCTGAGCTGAAGAGGCTATTCTGCCTCAGACTGGATGCGTCATGCGTCTCCATATTAGCGACGGGAACAAGCGCTGTTCAGCCAAAGTTTCATAATTTCATAAAAAGAACATTTTTCCAAGTGACACATCCCTCAGAGAGACCGGGTTTCCAGACCGCTTCAGTGGGAGGAAATCTTATCGCATGCGTCGTGGTTCTGCGCTCCGAACCCCTCTACAGATCTTCAGCCCACTGTCCACCGTGGGCGCTCCGAGCGGCGCTGAGCACATGTCCAGTATAAAGCTCTGATGTTCTGATGGGAATCATTTCGTGATTTAGCTACCTCCGTGATGTGCGTAACGATTAAAATGTCAGCTCGTCTGTGTGTGCATCAGTGTGCGTCGGGGTAATTCCTTCAAAACAACCAACATCCTTGAGTTTATCCGTCAAAATAAACAGTCAAATGGAAATATCTGTAACCTGTTATTTAACTGTTTTACCTTCTTGTGAAGATTGTTGCAAAGAGAAACAACTAAACTTGATTAACCCCAGAGCCAGGCGCACTGCGCTACTGACTGTAAATGAGGGGGAAACGATTTAATCAGATCCTTTTCTCTTCAACATGGTTTAATGTAAAGTTTCATTCAGAACAAACTTTAGTTACACCAATCTAACGAAACAGAGCCTGGATTTGTATTCTGAACAGTTCTGCTGAGCTGTGGTGGCCTCATGGAGGGGGCCATCGACTAGCACACTGCTGCTAACCACTTAAACATTCTCCCTCTCCTGATGATAACTTTTTGTTTTCATTGACTTTTTGATGTGCTACTACTAGTTTATCCGTTTAATTATAGATTCACTAGGATAAATACAATAAAGTTTATCTTTCACCAAATACAATATTTACTAAGACATCACAATATAACTATAGACACATTACTTGTCTGTGTGTGTGTGTGTGTGTGTGTGTGTGTGTGTGTGTGTGTGTGTGTGTGTGTGTGTGTGTGTGTGTGTGTGTGTGTGTGTGTGTGTGTGTGTGTGTGTGTGTGTGTGTGTGTGTGTGTGTGTGTGTGTGTGTGTGTGTGCCTGCTCTGTCTTCTCGATCCCCAGTGAGTCGTGGAGGATGGCTGCTTATACTGAGCCAGGATTCTCTGGAGGTTTCTTCCTGTTAAAAGGGAGTTTTCCTCTCCACTGTCGCTGCATGCTTGCTTAGTATGAGGATTGCTGTATAGTCACTGACACTAGTCAGTGACTTGATGCAATTTGCTGGGTTCCTTATACAGGAAACATTATTTCTGATTGGCTTAATGAACTGTGAATTAGAATGCTTATTATGTGAAGTGCCTTGAGACGACTCTTGTCGTGATTTGGCGCTCTATAAATAAACTTGAATTGAATTGAATTAAACATGTTTAAAACAGAGACATGCGTGACGCGTCTAAAATTCGCACCTGCTCCGCTATTATGGAAATTAAACAAACAAGATGAATAACATGAACTTATTACAGACAACATCCCCCACACTTTTGAAAAGCTTGCAACGCGCCTGGTCGCTCGTGTACGTCAAAGTTATCTTTCATAAGACGATAATCAGTAAAACGATTTATATGAAGTGGATCCAGAAGTTGTAGCCCGTCTCTGTCTACAATATTTTGATATTTTTCACCCTGTTGGTGGTTTTACTGAGCAGGTGCCACTTTTGTCATACGTTTCTTTTTAAAACATGTTTAGACTGTTCAGAATACAAATCCAGGCTCTGTCACGTTTGATTGTTGTAATTAAACTTTGTAGGTGGGGAAGGTCAGAAAAGGATCCGATCATTTTGTTTTTCCCTCATTTACAGCGACAGAGATAACACCAGTGCACCTGGCTCTGGTGGTAATCAAGTTAAATTATATCTATTTTCACAAGAAAACAGAACAGTTAAAAGCAGGGCTTGTGTTGACGGGACAGTTCCCGTATTTGACCGTTTATTTTGACGGAGAAAGAATAGAAAGAATTACCCCGACGCATGCAGACAAACTGACATTTTATTCCACTTAAATCGCAGATGTAGCTAAATCACTCAAGAAAAGATTCCCATCCGAACATCTGAGCTGGGCATTGCTCAGCGCAGCTCGCTGTCAGCGTGTACTACATAAGGTACACAGCGAGCTGAAGTTGTGGAGAGGAGCTTGGAGCGCGTCGCAGAACCAGAGCGCATGCGGGAAGCTTCCTCCCACTGAAGCGAGTGTTTTCCAAACCCTGTCTCTCAGAGACACTTGTCACTTAGAAAATGTTCCCTGATAATGAAACTTTGGCTGAATAGTGCTTGTTCCTGTCTCCAATGTGGCGACACATCCATGAGCCGTCTGAGGAGAATCCCAGAATCTTACATCGTCTACAGCTCAGAAAGCACCTATGATTACACACAAGCGTGACGCGTCAACCCGGTCTCACAGTAAGACCGGGTTGGACCTGTTCAGGTTTACGCAGACAATCTTTACATTTAGAATTAGCTTACAGATGTAAAATTAATGCAGTAAAATATAAAGCTTTTTATTTAAATATCCATTCATTATTTTACAAGCACAGAGAGCCGCATCAGATGGATGGAAGAGCCGCGGGTTGCCGACCCCTGTGCTAGCCTACTTTAT